AGAGACGTCTCGGTTGACGTTTCTGTGTAGTATGGGGCTAGCCCAACCGAGGGGATATAATGTATAGGCCTGGTGGGTTCAGGGTCTTTCATCTTACATCTGCCTGCGAGCAGTTTGAAGGTGCAAGACACTTGAGCGTGTAATGTTAATTTTACCTGTGATCCTTTGAATAAATCAGCACTGTTTTGAAGTTACTTGGACTGTCTCGTCTCTCAGAGTTAGCGTGGTAAGATGGACCATATCCTACATAAGCTATGATAAATGATAATAATCCATTAGTTGTATTCACTATGTTTACTTTTGATACTCTGTGTGTTTTTCTAATAACACTTGGATGTTTATGTTAACAAGAGTATTTTTATAGCGTAGTGATAGTAATTAGTAACAATCTGAATAATGTCACAACTGGTAGTCCTAGATATGTCAACAATAACACATATGTATTTATAGAGATTTAGTCTGAGGCATTTATATTTGAATTGTGCAGTAGCTTTACAAATGGATTTGAACTTGTACCCTGAGAGATTAAGTCAACACGTCTGGATCAAAGCTTTTGTCAGAGCTTTTTCTACTGTGCCTCCCTTTCCTCTTTCCAACTAGTGTAAAAAAAAAAAACCAAAATGATAAACTGAACGGTAAATTTAAGTGGGCCCTCTGCCCTCTTCATAGAAAGCCAAACACATTTTCTGTTATCAGTAAAATTTAGCCTGCCAAACCTGTTTGCCCTGTTAGTAATACAGTCATTTATTTTTTAAAGGATATTTTCAATCCACCTTGGGAAATTTGAGATTACTTTAAGAAAACAATCTCTGTTGTGGTAGAAAAACACAAGTGGTAAACTGTGATAAATCTGCTTTGCATGTCAGAGTCTGTGATGAGCAAAATAGAATAATTTGAACTTTTGCTGCACTTTTCTTTGCTTGCAGTCACTGTTAAGACATCACAATTTATCATCAACTCTCATTGAAAGTTATGCTATTCATTTTGTTGCAGACTGACCAAATCTCAATGGAGCAGGAGATGAGTTAAACAGTTAGAGGAGAAAGACATCTCCTCTTCACTGAATGGGCTGCCTTGTAGCTTAGTCATCATTTAAATGTCACAAACACATAGAGGGAAAAAGTGTTGTTCATTATCATTCCCAGTGCATGTAACTGACATATGATAATTAACACTGCAAAATTAGTCATTCAAAGCCATTTTTATCTTCAGTGACATGAAAAGAGGAGATGATGTCAGATGTCACGTTTTCAGATTTGTTTGTGTATGCTTTCACATTTGCATGGAGTGTAAAGCTTGGAGAGTGTTGCTGAATTGGCTCACCTTTTAGTTCAGCATCTACAGTACTTCACGCCACCATAGCCAATACCAAATCCAGCTGATAAATATCAAAAGCAATGCAACAGGGTCAACTTCCTGCGACA